AAGCATGCACTAGTGTGTGCACACATTTGTGCAAGCGTGCACATGCACATGTAAAGGTCAGAGGTAACACTGAGTGCCTCCTGTGATCAGACTCCATTTGATATTTTTTTGTTTGTTGTTTGTTTGAGACAGGGTTTCTCACAGTAACTTGAGCTCTCAGATTTGGCCTTGCTGACTATCCAGCAAAGCCCAAGGATTCTCCTGACTGCCTCTACGTCATGAACAGCCATTCCTGGATTTTGTTTTGTTTTGTTTTGTTTTTTTCCGAGTCAGGGTTTCTCTGTTTAGCTTTGGAGCCTCCTATCCTGGCATTTACTCTGTAGACGGGCTGACCTCAAACTCACAGAGATCCTCCTGCCTCCGCCTCCCAAGTGCTAGGATTAAAGGAGTGTGCCACCGACGCCCGGCCATGCTGAATTTTTAATATTGGTAATCTAAATTCAGGTCCTTGTGCATATGCAGTAAGCCCTTTATCCACTGAGCCAGCCCCACAGCTCCTCTTCAACATTTTAAATGGAAAAGTTAACCAGCAAGACTTCCTATCATAAGACATTATCAGTGAGCAGATATGCTTTGTAAGTGGCAGACATACTCACATATATGCATAATTAACAGGTCTATTGATGAATGTACAAGTAGAATTCCACAGCAAGACAAGTGAAGGGACAAATACTTCAAGCATGAGTTCTGACAATGATTTTCCTAAGTGGGCAATGTTTAAGCTGAGTGGCCACGGAGAGGGGAGGCGTCTACATTTCTGACTTGGGTGTGACCAACATTTCTAAGGTCTTGACTTGCAAAGCAAATCTTAATGCATCACTACATAGTTAGTGTTTTCTTTTAGACTGATTAACTCATAGCAATGCTCACTGCTTGGAAGTAGTTTCTATAAAGAATTAAAGCAGTAAATTACACAGGTTAAGCATCTCACTTCTCCTCAACAGATGAAACAATAAACACCAACAAACACCTTGACATCTTGTCTTTATCTACTCTAACTTCTTTTCACAGATGAGAGTACTAAGACCATGCTCTTGCTTGCTAATAACACACATGGTCACCAAGAATTCCAGTCTCTGCCAGAGGTAAATATTAGAATATCTTATATTTACTTTGAAAACTAGAGTGAGGGGAGGCACCAGTTAGGTTCGTGAATACTTAACATACATTTTCAACAGCTTAGCAACCTGGGGCTTGTGGTAGATGATTTTATAACACAACCAGCTAAAGTGATGCCTCAGCGAATGTATTCCATAATGAAAAGGCTAGGGGCAGGAAAGATGGTTCATTGCTTCCTACTATTTCAGAGGACTGGAATTTAGCTTCCAAGTACCACTTGGGGCAGATTACAACCTCTTACAACCAGCTCCAAAGGATCTGATGCCTTCTTCTGGCCTCTGTGAGCACCTACACACACACACACACACACACACACACACACACACACACACACACACACACTTTATTTTCTTGCTTTCTTTTTTTCTTTCAGTATTTGCAATATTCTGCAGTTTATGTATACCTGGGAGAGATTGTATAATCAAGTTGATATCTAAACTATCTTCGCTAAATGAGCAAATAGCTTTCCCTATACTAGAAAATGAAACAAAAGCAAATAATTGTGTATTAGGCAAAAGTTTCAAAATTATCAAGATTATTCAAAATACTTCAAATTTAGCTATTGTCAGTAAACATTATCCTGTGTATATATGTACCATGAAGTATTAGTTAAGGATACTATAAAATCCTTATCATTAACAGTACATTTTCAAGGTCATATTTTGTTACATTTTATTCAGTTATTTTATGGGTACGCACACACAGGCCACATCACACATGTGGAGGTCAGAGGACAAGTTGCAGAAGTCAGTTCTCTCCTTCCACCATGTGGGTGCTGGGGAATGAACTCAGAGTGTCTAGCTTGGTGGCAAGAACGTTACCCACTGTGTCTCACCAGAACACATTAAGTGGAACATGAATACACTAATAAATTTAAATATATACAGGTTGGACATTCTATATCCAGAATGCTTGAGTGTCTCGGATGCTGGACTGGTTTGCATTTTGGAATGTTTACATATATACAATGAGCTATCAGAGACAAGGCCATTTTTAATAAAACCTATTTCTTGGAAGTAGCATACGCCCAGTATGCTCTTACCGAAACTGTCTTTCTAAAATCCATAGGTTATTTTCCCAGATTCAATGAACCGTGAAACAGTTTTTAAGTAAGAATGCAGTCTCCATCTTAATCCTGGTTCTTTCTAACAACTTTTTAAGATTTATTTATTTGACTTTGTGTATGATTGTTCTGCCTTCATGTATGTATCACCCATGCAGTGTTCACAGAAGTCAGAAGAGGACGTCAGATCCCATGAACTGGAGTTACAGATGCTGTGAACCATCACTTGGGTGCTAGGAATTGCACCCAGGTCCTCTGCCAGAGCAGTGGGTGTGCTTAATGACTGAGCCATTTCTCCAGCTCCTATTTCTTGTTCTTTTTTTTTTTTTTTGGTTTTTTTTTTTTTTGTTTTTTCGAGACAGGGTTTCTCTGTGTAGTTTTGGAGGCTGTCCTGGCACTTACTCTGTAGATCAGGCTGGCCTCGAACTCACAGAGATCTGCCTGCCTCTGCCTCCCGTATTTCTTGTTCTTAAACATAAATTCATTTGTGTTTCATATGTACTTCATACTGAGAGCATGAGGCCATTTCATACAACCTACTGCTTGGAAGTGGTGCTTGCCCTCATGTTTTTACTGACAGGGGAGTTGAGAAATTGCAAATGCCTGGGGGTCATTAAGAGGGATTTTCAGGTGCCGGGCGGTGGTGGTGCACGCCTTTAATCCCAGCACTCGGGAGGCAGAGGCGGGCGGATCTCTGTGAGTTCGAGGCTGGGCTGGACCAACAGCTTCCAAAACAATACAGAGAAACCCTGTCTCGTAAAACCAAAAAAAAAAAAAAAAAAAAAAAAAAAGAGGGATTTTCAGGAGAAATAGCTCAGCTTCCCACTTTGTGATCAGGTAAAGAAATAAGAATCCTTGCACCATTTGCTGCTGTGGTTTGCTGAACTCTTCTGCCCCATGAGGATGAGAACAGCATCTGAAACATTTGGGAGGAGCAGAAAGGATAGAAACCTTGATTTTTAAAAGAACATGATCAGAAACTCCCATTATCTTTTTCCATTCTTTTAAGAATTCAGGTCTAGAAACACTGAGCTTGAGATTAAAATCAGCACTTAAAAGGAAAAACCAGGCCAGTCCTCGGCGGAATACTTGAGAACTGAAGATATGTGCATTTTCAGTGCCCGCCCGCCCGTTTGGCCCCAGTGCTGCCCCAATCTCAGAGACTTCTGTTACGAGGACCCCAGCAACAGAACCTTTTCCTGCAGGGACTGTGGCTCAGTAAGGGATGTGGCCTTTTTCAAAAGGCTTGATAAGGCTACACCACGAACAACATTTGTAGCTACGCAAAGTAACCTAATAAGGGTTATCAAATATGCTTTGGGTGGTAAGGTGATCTAAACTGAGGATCATAAAGGAATGTTATCCCCAAGTGCCACAAGAACACAATTGAGAGACTGGCTGTTTCATTATGAGAGAGATGCACAAGGATACAGCCTTTGTTGAAGCCTGAGCATGACATAGGCAAAGCAATTTGGATTCCAAAGAAAGCTCCAAGGAAGGCTTGGCTTGGCTTTGTTTTTTAAACTATGTAACATTTTTCTATGGCAATACTTTCTAGGGCTGGCTGGTCCTAATGAGTTTGTTTCCCTAAGAAGAGCCGTGGAGTAACTCTACACTGTAATTCCCAAAGCAGAACAGGTTAAGTCCTAATTTTATACAGAGGTACAAGAGTTCAAGGTCACTACACAGAGGACCATGCTCAACTTCTGAAAGGCCTCTCCAGTTTAAAACTGCACAAGTCCTTGATTCTTTGGCACTGGTACCTATTCAAATCGCCAGTTGTATCACTTTCCTTGACATGCAACATTCAAGACCATCTCAGCTTTATGTGGGCTGGGAACTGCTCGATTTCTGCTTTGGTGAGAAAACAGCCCAACTCACAAACCATCTCAAATGACCAGAGTGAACGGTGACATGCTCACACAGAAACTGTTTAGAAGGAACTCTTTCTAAAAAGCAGATTGTTGTCCCCAGATCAATGCAGTGGCTTAATTCCTTTTTTTTTTTTTTTTTTTCCTTTTGGTAGCTTTGGAGCCTGTCTTGGAATCTTGGAATGCACTTGCTCTGTAGACCAGGCTGGTCTCAAACTTACAGAGATCCGCCTGCCTCTGCCTCCCAAGGGCTGGGATTAAAGGCATGCAGCACCAAAGCCCAGCACTATGGTGAAATTCTTAAACAAGAACACTACCTCCTATTAATTCTGTCTCTTCAAGACTTAGAAGAGCAAAAATGAATAAAGAACTTATTGCAATTTAGACCCTCTCCCCACTGCCCAGATGTGGGAGACACAACACTTCATCACTAGCAATGCCCTGCTCTCAGCTTTAAAAACAAAAAACAAAACAAAACCAGAACTGCAGAATCTCTTCAGGTAGGAAAAAAGGAGTTTTACTTATCCACAATAAAACTATAGACTGCAGGAGCACTTTCACTGGCCCAGAAGCATCAGTACATGCATGTTCTAGAAGGCAACACCAAGTGGATCTTGAGTTACTTCAGCACTCCTCAAATACTACATACCCATTCCTGAAAAGAAGATCAAAATCTACCCAAGAATTATGTGCAATTTTTAAGTCCAACCCAGCATAAACCAAAGCCCTCCTGTCTTATCAGTTTGGAAGACACAATTAAGAATTGTGTGACCATCACACCAAAGCTAGCATTTGTATTGATTATACAAAGTAACTCCAGAGCAAAGGAAGAGTTTAGTGAGAAAAATCTGTAATGCAGCTTAGCTCAAAGTAACAATCGCAGGGCAACACCAGCAGCTGTGTCTGGGATGGCTGCCACTGACAGAGGGAAGCAGCTGCATACATACCTGCTTCCTGAGGTCTTAGCGCCTGACAACTGGAGGTCCAGGGAAACAAACCCAGAAGACTTAAAATTCAATCTCTCCGAGCTGTGCCTGTCCTTGGATAACCATCTGCAAAAGGCAGCGTTTGACCAAAGAAGACAAGCAACTCAGTCTACACTGAAATGAAAGTTCTGCCTATACCACTGATTTTAATCTCAAAAGAATTTGGCCTAGGTAGAAAGGCCAACCTGACACACAGGTGTGGCGTGTATATATATATATATATATATCAAGAGGCAAAACTGTCGATGTCATTACCATGTCTAATCTATTATAGCTAGAGTGCTTAAAATACATTGTGAGGCCTCACCTTCCCTAGGAGAGTGTGCTCACACAGGCTTTGAAATGGAACTGCCCTACGAACTCCCACATTACTTTTATTGTATTATAATTACTTTGTCACTTTAATTGTAAATGCCAATGTTTTTTAATCATGTGAAAAACCACTAATCAATTAGCATTAATTTGTGTTTCCTAGAAAGAATTAAGAAATTGTGTTAAGACAAAAATAAAAAAATAAAAAATCCTAACTCCAGAATCACTGAACTAATTTCAAACAAACATAAACACTGTCTTTAAACAGTAACTGGAAACACTATGCCATCTATGCAGTGTTAAACTAGGGAGAAACTCAAGGGTTAGAGTCCAAGTCTACTTTTGAACTGGCCCAAGAACAGTTTCCTTATCTACTTTACAATCCATATTTATGGTATAGTGGCAGCACATTCTGAGGAGGAAGCCTGAAACATCTTTTATAATGCCTCTATAAAAAATGGACATTACAAAACAGTTTTACAAAATGAAAGAAAAAGTAATTTTGAAATTACAAGCAACTTTAAAACCAAAGTATGTATTACATGTACTTTTAGAATTTCATGTATATGAATGTCAAATTCTAGACATGCAAACTAACCTGTGGTGACAGACAGCAGAGCAGCCGTTGTCAGAACACAGGGATCACCCAGGAATAACATGCAAAGGGACATGAGGTAACTTTTAGTAGCAATGCAAATACTGTGTGTTTCCGATTGTGGTGACTTTGCTGGGCGGTGGTGGTACATGCCTTTAATCCCAGAGGCATGAAGCAGGTGGATCTCTGTGAGTTCAATGCCAGCCTGGTCTACAGAGTGAGTGCCAGGACAGGCTCCAAAGCTACACAGAGAAACCCTGTCTCGAAAACCTAAAACACACACACACAAAGAGAGAGAACTGGAAATCTCACCTTTAACAATCCTAGTTCTACCCACTTACATTAGACATTTTTAGCAAAGTTCTTCTGACAAGAATGCTCTAAGGGAACAATATACACATCTTGCAGAACTTGGATATGTACCTGGCATTACTTAAAGTTATTTTAATTCAATAGTTCATCTCAGTGATTATTAAGTATCTACTGTATCCACTATGTTGAAGGGACTTCTCTAATGCTGCAAAGACTGGTGGAGGAAGACATCACACAGAACTCAAAATCAGCCTTTGAAAAACTGGCAGATCACAGGCATTATTACCTTAATTCAGCAATTGGGGGGGGGACAGATGCCAGATTTTTAACATCTTAAAAAAAAATGTCCCTTAGAATATGTAGGTGTCAAACTTGTGAATATAATGCTTATGGGTAGCTAGAAGGAAGGGCAGAGTATCTAAGGGACATGAACAAAGGTGCATTAGCAGGGCCCAGGGCACGCAACAAACACCTGAAAGCAAATACAATGACTGTAGGAGTGTGCCTCCTTCAAATCATAATGCTTTTCCTGAACCTAAGTTACCAGAGAAACAGTGTAAATTACCTCCTGTTCCTGCACATAGGTAAGGGATGCAGCTCTGCCTGACTTTAAGCCTTGAAACAGACCTGTTAAAACTATTTGAAGTCTGACACAGACTTGATTCTTTTTTTTACGTGTATTGGTGTTTTGTTTGCATTCGTGTCTGTGTGAGGGTGTCAGATCCCCTGGAACTGTAGTTACAAACTGTTGTGAGCTGCCATGTGAGTTCTGGGAATTGAACCCGGGTCCTCCGGAAGAACAGCCAGTGCTCTTAACCGCTGACCCATCTCTCCAGACCTCCAGACATGATTTTAATTTAGAAAAAATATCTAGTTAAGTCACATTTCCTTGTTTGCTTAGGAGTTTCCTATCTTTGTCTTACATAGAGAAGGATTTTGCTTGTATGTATGTACATGTGCCACATGCGTGCCTGGTGTCCACGTAGGCCAGACAGAGTCAGATCACTTGGAACCAGAGTTACAGATGGCTCAGCCGTCATGAAGGTGCCGGGAGGGAACTGGACCCGGTTGTCTGCAAAAGCAACAAGTGCTCTTCACCAGGAGTCATCTCTCTCGCCTCACATTATTCTTATCAACACTAATGCTCCTTGCCCGCTGGAAGCAATAATCACCACTGTCTTCCTTCAAAAGCAGGCAATACATCAATATTAGACAAGGAAATACCCTAAAGATACCTCTAACACAATCCCAGGGTCTGTAAACACAGATGTTGGCAAAGGGCAGGGGCCTTGGGAGAGGGAAATACAGCCTGGATTATCTATGCAGGCCTAAGGGTCTTTCAAACCAGAGGAGGAAAGAGATTCAAGTGCAGAGAAGCTTGACCTGTTGTCCCTAAGCTTGACCTGTTGTTCCTAACTGAATACGGAGGGGAGGGGACCTGAGTGAAGGAGTGAAGATGGCCTCTAATGATGAGAATAACCCCCAGGTTTACACACTACAAGAAGGGGAAATCTCAGGACAGCAACTTCAGCCAACATCAGGAATGAGCCCTGAAAAGATCCTTCCCTCAATCTTGTAGAAAGGAATATAGTTCTGCCCAATATCTTAACTTTGCCCGGTGGCACCTAAGCCAGACTCCTGACCTATAAGTACAGGAAGGTAATAAACTGGTGTTGGTTATACTGCTAGATTCGTAGCGATAGAAGCAATTGAGAGAGTTAATACAGACTCAGGGAATTTTATTCCAGAATCAGCAAATTTTATCACCTTGGCCTTGGACTGATCACAAGAGAGAACAGCTATTACTTGGGGACTAGGAGGTGAGAGCAGGCAAGATGTCTTGGGAGAGGATCAATGCTGTCTTTACAGTTCTCTTTAGAGAGATTTTTCATTTCCATCACATTACAGAAAACATAGGAGGACTGGCTTGGAGCTAGAGTGGTGAAAAAGAACCTGGGATCGACCCTCAGCAGGAAAAGAACAATAACAACAAAAAAAAAACTTAGAAGTTGGGCAAGGGTTTAGTTTAGCATCTTAAGAATGAAAACAGTACAAAAATGCAAATATTCAAGAGTCTGCCAATAATGCCAAGCAAAGGCCTTTATTAAAGATGTGCACCACCACAACATGGATAAGGCCTTTGTCTTATCTTTTTGTTTTGTTTTGTTTTGTTTTTCATGATAGGGTTTTTGCCCTAACTGTCCTGGAACTTGCTCTGTAGACCTGTCTGGCCTTGAACTCATGGAATGTGCCTGCCTCTGCCTCCATAGTGCTGGTATGCACCACTATGGTCTGTGTTATCCTTCTCAATGCATAAGGCCCAGAGATCATCCCTGGTACCTTGCCATTAGGTACTATTCTCATTATAGTCCTAAGGACAGACCAAAAAGTGATAGAAAATGCAGATTCGTAAACCCCGAAGATTTTCCTTCAGAAGTTTTGGGCAGGGCCCAGGAATCTGAACAGGAACAAAATTTGGAAATTCTGAATTTTGTCCTCTAATAAATGGCTGGAAGTACTGAGGCACTCCTATTATATTCTCCCCCAAATACCAGAGAACTCGGCTCCTCTGAGCAAGACTCAAAAAGCAGCTCTGGTCAGAGATCACTCTGGAAGCTAGCCACTCTAAGTACAAGCTAATTGGTTAACTGCATACATAGCTTTGGCGTGATCAGATGTGATTCTGCTCTGGCCACTTAATGTGCTTTGGGCAATTCACACTATTTTCTGTGCCTCCATTTTCTCATTTGCATAAGGGGAGGGAAAAACCTCCCAACCAGCAGTGTTGCTATGGCAGCTTTAGCACAGTCGGTAAAGCGTCTACGGACGATGATTACCAACACACTCCACTTCTACTTTTAGATGAGATCTCAGTAAAATAAGCATTTTGAAATCTTCATGTTCTTATTCCTATAACAGAATCTAGAAGGACGAAATATTTAGTAGAATCAAACATTAGCTTCCATCCTGAACAACATGGGAATCAGGTATTTTCTGAGGTGTATGTGAAAAGGGGGAAATGAGCCACCCACTCTGAGGCTATATATACCAAGAGGGGTGGCAAAATTTAATTCTAAAATTGTTGGCTGAAACAAAAAGACAGCTTCCTCAATCACAAATATCTAGAAAATCTGCCTCTTGTTTTTGGCCTTTGGCTCTTAAGTGCCAACCTCATGGATTGCTTTCCAGGACAGGTTATTTTATTAGCTAAGTGGGTGGGCCTCCATTCTGACTGGAGGATGATTGAAAGTCAACTGAGTGACTTACAGTTACAAAGCAAGTTAAATAATCTCAACTGCCAGGTGCATATGAAGCGCATGTATAATCAAGTCTCTAAACATACCCTATCATTAACACTAAAATGGAACAGGTACGAGAGCAAACAACACAGCAGACACTGGGATACTAACTGCATTGTGGTTAAATGGCATGTAGTTGAGGTCACAACTAGAAAAGCTAAGTTTTAATTAATAAGATTTAATTAATAAAATCATTAAGTGATGAATTTGTGGTGAACAACGAAGTAGGAGATGTCATAAAAGTCAGGTAAAAGCAGCCTTCCAAAATGGCAGTGCTAGTGACAATGTTCTACAATATTCTGGCCAGATAAAATAGAAGGTTTGTTACTGGGTAAACTGAGGCCTAAAGTTAGGTTTCTGTTAACCAGGAAACTCCCTTAATCCATCTGTAAAAGTCAAATACCTTGGACAAGTACATTCGGTCCCAGGTCAACCTAAGGAGCTTGCATCAGCTCAAAGACCCTCCACAATGCTTGGCCGCCATATAAAATCTTCTCACTTTCCCACCATTTTGCTCCTCTCTGCCCCTGAGAAACAGCCTTGGCAGTTTGATCCCCGAAGAACCTTTCTTCCTACCCGTGGAGTGCTCTGG